AAGGGACCAAAGAGCCGCATGTGTCTGCCGAGCCACAGTTTGCCGACCACTGTTCTAGGCGGATGGGCCACCGTTTGCCTGTCCACCTGCTGATGGACAATTGGGCTGTTTCACTAAACATCTGTGTTCTCATCTATGAAGAGGACGAGGGTGTCTGGCTTGTGGTTTTACCGCGGGAATCGCAGGTGGCTGTCTGTGCGGTGCCTGGCGCATGGCAGACACACGTGGGCTCTTCCTTCCCGGCACTGGCTTGGCCTCTGCCTGCTGTGACCCTGAGTTATACCCCGATGACCCGAGCTCCGGTCGGGGTCTCTGTGATGAGCAGCCAACTCAGATGGTCACCCCTGGGTCATTCAGGTTCCAACTCGGTCAGTTCCAGGATCCTGCGGCCCAGGACACACCTGTTCTCCTTTCACTGGGAATTTCCTTCCCTGGGGTCCCGTCCAGCCCCACCCACAGGCGTTCCCAGGACGAATCGGTGCATGTCAGAGACCGGTGACGTGTGCTGGACGGAACGTCAGGGAACCATGGCATTTGTCACCCGGCGTGATTGTGTTGGGTTTTCTACTAGACCTTCTGCTTTCTCTTCTCTTTTTCCAAAACCTCGTGTTCAACAACGATGGGAATGCTGACGCCCACCCCGGCCTGGCTTTAGGCTGCTCAGGTCAGAGGGAAAAGGAAGGCGCCTGAGTTGAGGTCTCCAGTCTCCATGGCCCTTGGTGGGTGTGTACCCATGGCATGGCACGGATGTCCCTGCCTCATGGTGATGGGAGCAAGGGGCAGACGATGGGCCGGCCCACCCCTTAGGACAAGGGCGGCCAGATTTAACCAATGACACTACTGGCTGCCAAGTTAAGTTTCAGATAAACAACAAATCACCTTTAGTATAATTGTGCCGCCCAGAATTGCAGGAGGTGTGTGGGAATCCTGCATTTTATCTAAAAACCCTACAGAGCGGAGCTTAGAAAACTGGGGACAACCACCCATCCATCGTCTGTGCGAATGCGTTTCCCACTGTGAGGACTCCTTCTCTCTTTCTGAACCTTCACGCGGCGTAAACTGGGGTTGTAGCTGCACATCCGAGGACGTGTCCGGGGCTGATACAATGCGTGGGGAAGGCTTTGTAAGATTCAGAACACCGTGACCAGTAACCAACAAGACTCACCGGGTGCCATCCTCGTCTGTTTAAACGGAAATGACGCCTACCTGACGTCGTGGCCATGAGGGTTAAGCAGATACATGGTTTCGGATTCCCCGAGGAGCTACTGAAGGACAGGGGAGTGTCTGCCAGGCCCTAACCCTTCTCTGGTCCTCTCTCCCCGACAGTGTCCGGGGGCCGCAGCCGCCTGCACCTCATCGACCTGGGCAGCTGCGTGAAAGCGCTCAGCAAGAACCGCGAGGGCGGCGCGGGGCTGTGCCTGTCCCTGTCCGCGCTGGGCAACGTCATCCTGGCCCTGGTCAACGGCAATATTTACATAACGATTCATAACAGTAGTAAAATTACAATTATGAAGTAGCAACAAAAATAATTTTATGGTTGGGGGTCGCCACAACATGAGGTGGGGTTTGAAGTTGTAGGTCAATTAGCATTGTTTTCCACTGACCGTGAAAGGCTGGTAGTTTTCTTGTAGGCTACCCTTGCTGTTTTTTTTTTTCAATC